AAAGGTTAATCCAAACGGTGCCGTTTGGTTTAGTACTGGGGTCGGGTTGGTCCGGGTGGAATGAGTCGGGTTCAAACAACGGGTAGGTGTATGTGATATTGGCCGTTGATCACTCTGAGATCAATGACCCAGATCAAGCAATATCGAAACTACGTCGTTTGGACGCCCCTGGGGTCAGCTGGTTTGGACCGGGCAAAACACAGATTTTGGGCTTGATTTGGTTCAGTTTTGGGCCTGTTTTGTTTTAATTTTGACTGGCCCGATCCGAAAATCCTTCTTCTTTTCCTTTTTTTTCATTTTAATTTCTTAAATTAAATTTCCAAATAATACTATATAAAACATTAAACAATGATTATCACACAATTAACATTTAATTACACTAACATCACTTAATGACAAAAATAGAATGAAAGATGCAATTTTTTTTTCTTTTAATAAACGGATTACGGTTCACACGACATATATTTTTTTTATATTTTGTTTGAATAAAAATAAACATAGACAAGACCATAGATAACTAACAAAAATGCCATGTAAAAATTCAAAAAATTGTAAGGCGAGACCAATTGCTATTATTTTTATATCTTTTGGAGTGATTGTCGCGTAAAACAAAAATCACGTGCTCACAACCATGAAAGTCTGGGAGAGAGTGGTAGAAATGAGAGTGCGAAGGACGGTGTCTATTTCAAAGAACCAGTTCGGGTTCATGCCGGGGCGATCTACCATAGAAGCTATCCACCTTATTAGGAGGATGGTGAAACAATACAGGGATAAGAAGAAGGATCTCCACATGGTGTTTATCGATCTAGAGAAAGCGTACGACATGGTTCCTAAGGAGGTCTTATGGAGATGCTTAGAGGCTAAAGGGGTCCTGGTTGCCTACATTAGGGTGATTAAGGACATGTATGATGGAGCTAAGACTCGGGTTAGGATAGCAGGAGGCGACTCCGAGCATTTTCCGGTTGTTATGGGGTTGCACCAAGGGTCTGCGTTCAGCCCTTTCCTATTTGCCCTGGTGATGGACACCATAACACATCATATTCAAGGGGAGGTGCCATGGTGCATGCTATTTGCTGATGACATAGTCCTAATTGACGAGACACGACGCGGCGTCAGCAAGAGGCTAGAGGTTTGGAGACATGCCCTTGAGTCAAAAGGTTTCAGGTTGAGCAAGACGAAGACGAAATACCTCGAGTGCAAATTTGGGGCCGAGCCGACGGAAGCGGGAGTGGAAGTGAGGCTTGATTCTCAAGTCATCCCTAAGAGGGGTAGTTTCAGGTACCTTGGGTCAGTTATTTAGGGGACCGGGGAGATCGACGAGGATGTCACACACCGTATACGGGTGGGGTGGATGAAGTGGAGGTTAGCGACGGGAGTCCTATGTGACAAGAAGGTGCCACCGTTACTGAAAGGTAAATTTTATAGAGCAGTGGTTAGGCCTGCCATGTTGTATGGGACCGAGTGTTGGCCGGTTAAGAACTCACACATCCAGAAGATGAAAGTTGCAGATATGAGGATGTTGAGGTGGATGTGCGGGTATACAGGGAGGGATAAGATTAGGAATGAAGATATTCGAGAGAAGGTGGGTGTGGTCCCCATGGAGGACAAGATGCGTGAAGCAAGACTCAGATGGTTCGGGCACATTCAGAGGAGGAACACTGATGCACCGGTGAGGAGGTGTGAACGACTAGCTGTGGTGGGTACGAGGAGAGGTAGGGGGAGACCTAAGAAATATTGGGGAGAGGTGACCAGGCAGGACATGGTGCGACTTAGGATTACTGAGGACATGGCCCTTAACAAGGAATTGTGGAGGTCGAGTATTAAGGTTGCAGGTTAGGGGGAAATTGTGAATATTTCTACAGCGCACTAGAGTGAGACTAGCCAGTTAGGAGTTAGTCTTAAGATGCTACTGACCAGCTACTGATGATGGGCTTTATCTGTTGGTTATTAGTATACTTTACATCCTTCTCGTATTTCCTATATTTCTTATATTGCTGTTATTTTGTTATTTTATGGTATTTTATGTTATGTTATGGATTTTATGTTATTTTATTATGAGTCTATTGATAGTACTAATATAGCGTCTCTTGTTGCTTTCTTGAGCCGAGGGTCTCCTGGAAACAGCCTCTCTGCCCCTCGGGTAGAGGTAAGGTCTGTGTACATATTACCCTCAGAGACCCTACTTGTGGGATTATAGTGGGTTATTGTTGTTGTTGCAATTTCTAACGGGGTCCAAACGGTCAATTTTTGAATTAGCGGTCAAACCCACTTTAAATAACATTAGAACACTTCTTTAGTTCCTTTTCTTCCTCACAAGATTCTAGGGTTTCTCTTTCTCTTTCTCCACCGACGGGACCGTCCCTTTTTTCCTCTCTTCTCCGTTCTTCTCTATTTTTACCGGCGGTTCTTGTTTTTGATTAATTTTCTTTCATATACAAAGCTACATTTTTTTATACCCATATGGGTGAAAAAGATTCAGAAGGCACTGAAAGTGCCACAACATCGGAGGATGTTGAAAATTCTGATAAAGGCGAAAAAGTGAAGGGTTTAGCGGACAATTCAAGCAAAAAGATTTGTGGGTTTGATTCAAGTTTTGATATTTCTGGGAAAAGTTTGGATTATCCATTATTGGAAGGTGTTGAAGAGGGTGGTGGTGGGAAGGTTGAGGGTTTGTACATGTACAGGAATGTATTTAATTTGATTCCTAAGTCAATTGGTGCACTTGGGAAAGTTAAGATACTGAAATTCTTTGGGAATGAGGTTAATTTGTTCCCAACTGGAGAGTTGAGGAACTTGGTTGAATTGGAGAGCTTGCAAGTGAAAGTGTCATTGCCAGGGATGAGTGGATTGGATTTGAATAAGCTGAAGTGTTTGAAAGAATTGGAGCTCTGTAAAGTTCCTTCTAGACCTTCAGCTTTCCCTCTTTTAAGAGATATTACTGGTCTTAAACGTCTTACTAAGCTCTCTGTCTGTCATTTTTCTATCAGGTTAGAACTTTTTTTTTGTGACTATTCTATTAGGATTTTAAGTCATACACACTGACAATGTGAATATTATTAACGCCTATCTATGCAGATTGGCAATTGCCTGTAGTTGTCTTTTAATTAACCTGATAATGTAAAAATCTTAAAACTGTCAATGTATGAACATTAAATCCATTCTATGATGTTTTTATGTGAGCACCAAGGCCATATGCTTTTGGTATTAATGTGAGTTGGTTAGGTTGCATCTACACCTTTTCATTATCTTTCAGTCCTTAAAGAAAATTGCTAGTTTTCACCAGTGCTAGACATCTTGCTAGGATAAGCAGGATAAGTGACCACCCAAATTTCCATCAATACAAGTTGGTAGGCGGAGGACATGATATTGGATTGTGTCCGTCTTCTCTGAGGGAAAGATAGGGAAAAAGTAATTGCAGGAAAAGTGGTTTTGATTTCATTCTGGAAACCAATTTTTCCGAAAGTTGGAACTTGTTTTGTACACTTAGATAATCTAGTTTTTATGCATGATTCATAAAAGAAAATGGGTTGGTTTCTCAACAAATTTTAGCATGCCGTTATACAGCTGGAGAAATAATAGAAAATAATGATTTGTTTTTTCTGTGTTGGTGCTGCATAGGTACTTCAACCGATTGAAGTTACTTAATCAGGAGGAAGAAGACTCATAAAATTTTTAAGTTGGTTGGAAGGAGTTTAACACTTCTTAAAGGGTATCAGTTTCTACTTAGGGCCATATAAGATTGCACGGGATACTAGGATTAGGCATAGCATAACTAACCCTTGTTGAAGGGTGAGTTTTACAAATCCTACCATCCACATAAAGAGTTTTTTGTTTATCTATTTATTTGTGTTTTCTTTAATTTTTTTATTTTGGGATTTGTTATCCTATAATGCATCTTAGATAGGTTAAAATTATCTTATTTATTCTGCCTTACATAATCTGACAGCTGAAGAGGCCGGCACAAATCCATTGGGAAAGTATTTTGATCCCGGAAACAACCTCTCTTACCCCTCCGAGGTAGGGGTAAGGTATGCATACACTCTACCCTCCCCAGACCCCACTAGCGAGATTCTATTGGGTGGTTGTTGTTGTTGTTGTTGTAGGTGTATGTGGAAAACCCATATACGAGTACAATACAGAATTTTAAAGTTATAGTGGTTAAAAACAAAAGAACTCATAGGGCTCCAATAGAACTAACAGAGAAGGGAAGTATGTGAAGTAAATTCGTATGCTTTGGAGTATGGCAACATAGAGCACACTGCCTATCCATGTACTTCACACTTCAAAAGTGCAAGTCTGTTGCTGTCACGTCTTTCCATGACAGTAGCATGTACCGTAGATAGTAGCAGTAAAATGAACTTTTGCTGAAGTCCATGTAATTTTGCAGTTGTATGTAATTGCTTAATATTGGTAGCGTTGGAAATTATTCTTTGGATCAGGAGGGAGGATTTGACTTGGAAATAGGTGTTAGGATTTGTATTCTATAGACATTCTTTTAAAAGAAGGATTTGTATTTTATAATCTTCCTTTATTTAGTGCAGTTACGCCACAGCCTTGAGATAACAAGACATGTCTATGTTCAACATTTGATACATTTTGTTAAATGGGGTCTGATATCTTAAGATTTCTTCTTCATCCAAACAAATGGAATCACATTTAATGTCTAAAAGACTAAATTTTCATTCTGCTGACACTTTTGACAAGCAGGGGCTACTTTTGAGTGCTAGAGGTTGAAAGTTGTGAACGATAAACTAGTAAATTCAGTTTCATCTATAATACATTCACTCATTTTCATCTTTGTACTCCAATGATAAGGCAATTGTTCCTTGCTGTTCATGCAGATACCTGCCTCCAGAAATTGGCTGTCTTAGTAATTTGGAGTACCTAGATCTTTCATTCAATAAGATGAGGAGTTTACCTGTTGAGATAACTCATCTGAACTCATTACTGTCACTGAAAGTTGCTAATAATAAATTGATTGAAGTACCTCCGGGGCTGTCTTCTCTGCAAAGATTAGAGAATTTGGACTTTTCTAACAATAGATTGACGTCCTTGGAGAATCTTGATCTCCTTTCAATGTATAATCTGCAGAGACTCAATCTTCAGGTATGTGTTACTGAAAATACAGTTTCTTTTCGACATTTCTTATAGGCTTCTTCCCTAGTTTCTTTTCCCTTTTTGTTGACAAATTTCGTGCATTTCTCTGGATAAAGGACTGATATGTATTTTCTCAATTGTCTAGTCAAGTAACTTGGTGTATAATAATTACCTTATTCTGACCCATATATCTTTGTTGAAATTCCCTGAAGCACAATAAGCTTCTTAGGTGTTGTTCTATTCCTTCATGGGTATGCTGCAATTTGGAGGGGAATTGCATAGATTTGTCCAGTTCATCGTCTGAAATGGATGTGCTTGAAGATTATGATCAGGAAACCTCTGAGAATTCGCAAAATGGTGAACTCTCATCTCCCTCTCCTTATTTCTGGTGCTCTTTCTGCAGATTCTGATTCCTTGGTATCTTGTATATTGCCCTTCGAAGAGTTCTTGTTCGGAAGGGACTGATCTTCGAGGAGTCTGATACATGTAAATTATTAATCTTGTAGGAGCTTCTATCACATCGTCGGGTCATTTATGTGGCTCATCACCCATTCATCGATGTTTTCGGCCTCAAAAATCCAAGAGATGGAAGCGGCAGCATTTGCAACAGAGAGCTCGTCAAGAACGGCTAAATAACAGCAGAAAATGCGTCGTCGCCTGCAAACATTCTGTGCTAGTTGATGAATCTCTGGTGGAAGGCCCGTCAAACATAGTGGATGACGATGCTGATGATAAAGAACTCTTGACTGAAGAGGCTGAGTGCAAAGACTCTGTAGCTAATGTTGTTGATGAAGATAGCAGAAAGGAGGAGCGTTATGTTGAAAGATGTTCGTGTGTTCCTGACTCCATTGGGACAAGCATAGATAGTCATAGTAGCTGTAAAAAATGTGATGCTTCAGTAGGTTCTCTTTCTCATGCTGATGATGTTGTCGAGGAAAGCTCGTCTCCCGAGGTGTCTAATATTCCTCCAAAATCGAAAAGGCACCTCGATGGGGTCATTGATAATCCAAAACCATGCAAAACCCGCAGACCAACAGATGATTCAGATTTATCCTGCAAATACAGCATGATATCTTTCTGCGGTATTAATGATTATTTACCGGATGGCTTTTATGACGCTGGACGAGATCGGCCATTTATGTCGCTTAGGAATTATGAGCAGAATTTGCATCTTGATTCGCGGGAAGTCATTTTAGTTGACAGGTAAGCTCCCATATCTGCATGCCATTAATAGTCATGGCGTTCGTCTACCAAGTATAATGAATGCTTTGCCTTTCTAGTCATTTGGATTTCTTATTTAATTTGTTCAGGCAAAGGGATGAAATGCTGGATGCCATTGCTCTGCGTGCTCAAGCACTGATCCTTCATTTTAAGCAGATAAATGGTTTGTTCAGAGATAGAGAACATGTTGCTATAGACAACTTGCAAATTGCGTCATTGCTTGCACTTTTAGTATCGGATCATTTTGGTGGAAGCGATAGAAGTACTATTGTTCAGAGGGCAAGGAAAACAGTATCTGGGTCGAACTACAGCAAGCCTTTTGTCTGCACATGCCCTACCGGAAATGATGACACTACCAGCATAGTCACAAAAGACAGTCCTAGTGGCTTAGGAGATATACTTTTCCTTGATCTTTGTGAGAAAGCACTTCGTTCCATAAAATCAAGGCAAAATTCTATTGTTGTTCCTATTGGGAGTTTGCAGTTTGGTGTATGTAGGCATAGGGCCTTGCTTATGAAGGTATTTTGTCATCAGATATGTTTCTATTTCTGAATGTAGTTAGCTATTATGAACTGATGAATTTCATTTGTCTTCTCCAGTACCTGTGTGACCGAATAGAACCTCATATATCTTGTGAGCTTGTTAGGGGTTATTTGGATTTTTCGCCACATGCATGGAATGTGATTGTGGTAAAGAGGGGTGAATCATGGGTTCGAATGATAGTGGATGCGTGCCGTCCCCTTGATATCAGAGAAGAGATAGATCCAGAATACTTTTGCAGGTCAATGATTTTCCAATACTTTCTTCATGACTTATTTCTACATGTGTATTAGGATCTTGCATTGGCGATCTAGACAGTGTGGTTATTGGTTATTTTGGAGTGAAAATAGCCATTTTCTTGAGTAGTTTCTGTTACCAAAGCTCTAGTCGCCCAAGGTTCTAAAAGTTAATAGCAAGCACATTCTCTCCCTGTATTTCCCCCTGCTGTATTCTGTGGTGAATAATTTACTTTGTATAGAGCAAAGTTGTAATTGCTGTGTAATAGTAGGTTGACCCTGTTGACTGGTGACATCATTCCTTTTCTATTCATTCTGCTGTTCTATGGAGTCTACTTTGGCAAAATATCAATCTCGGGTTCCTACAATTTTTAACTCGTCTGATAGAAAATGGATTCTGGTGTACAAGAATGGGTCTTGTGCTGTGGTCAGTTGGGAACTGTATCTCATCATTTAAGACTTATTCCCCCAAAAAACTCACCATTTAAAGTTTTTTTGGCGATAGTCATTGATATCCAATTTAGCCCTTTGAATTATTTTAGCTACTGATTATATTAGTTTCATTATTCATAATCATTGTTTGGCATACTGGAAATCACTTTTAGTTCTGATAACTCACTGCTGCTATAAAAGAATTACGTAATTCGTTTATGAAATTATTGAATATCACTTAATTTACTGATCAGAAGTTATTTTGTTCACCCAAAACAAACAGATCAAAGTCTCATGAAGAAATGTTTTTGGTTTTTCTGGCTTTGATGGTTTCATATGCAAATGTATCCTGTGTAGAAACCGTTGGTAAAAGGATGATTGTGATAGATTGCTGATATTTCTCTTAGATCACTGAGCTTGCTGTTTTTTAGGTATGTGCCATTGAGCCGGATAAATGTTCCTGTTGTGCCAGATGGTATTCCTGGTCAAGTTAGTTCTTATCCTTCTCTATCCGGTTCTGATGAAATCGATAAAGCTCCTTCCTCAACCCTCGTCCAGTGTAAATTCGGATCGCTTGAGACTGTGGCAAAGGTGTGATTCCTGACTGCTTTTAAACCTCTCCGTTTATTGTCATGAAACATCCCTAAGTTCTTATTCTGAGTTCCAAGTTCAAACTGTATCATATCTGTCATATGCTGAGTAGTATTTTCCTTTTGTTGTACTTAGTTTATATCTCCACTTAACTTGGAACTTCTTTTGTCTGAAAGTCGAGTCATTGTTGCTTAAATAAAGCACTATAACTGTTCTATTCTTTGAGGGGTGAATTCTAGCATGTAAATGTATTGACCCTCTTGAAAAATAAAGAGCAAACTAGAAAATGATTTTTCTGGCTTCATTGTACTTTCCATTGTCAACTGTACTTTACTAGGTGTATGGTCTTATGCTTCTGATCTGGTTTGGATTTATATAAGAAGAAGAAAAGCAAGTTTGTTTTTGAGTTTATTCTGTTGTTTTGCTTGAATCCGCTATTTTGCAGGCTTTTTCTTTTCATTTTGCATTTATGTGCTCTGTGCTCATAAAACTTGGTTAGTGACACTTATTATATCAATAGCTGTGGGAATTTAACTCGGGTAACATCTTTATTGACAAGACATAGTTGAACATTTTTATCCATTCTTTTCTTAATATTAACCTGATTTGAGCAGAAAGGATACGAAGGATTCATATAATCGGTCCCGACTAATTTAGGGTTGAGGTTTAGTTGATTGATCAAATTTTTGCTGCTGCAGGTGCGGACTTTAGAGGTATCCAGGTCCTCCGCGGATGAGATTAAGAATTTTGAGTATAAATGCATTGGAGAAGTTAGGGTGTTGGGTGTCTTAAACAGTTCATGCATTGTAAAATATTACGGTCATCAAATATCTTCAAGATGGGCTCCTTCATCAGATGGCAGTTCAGAATGTCGTACTTTGCAGTCTGCTATTTTCATGGAGCACATAAAAGGGGGTTCACTAAAGGTATATGTTCTCCTTAAATTCTTTTCACACCTGACTGTCTTTATTCTGCTCATTTTGCTTTCTTGTCTTTAACTTGCAGAAATATGTTGATAAGCTCTCTCATGCTGGTGAGAAGCGTCTTCCAGTTGAGCTGTCGGTATTTATTGCTCGAGATGTGGCAAGTGCATTGACAGAGCTGCATTCTAGGCATATCATACATCGTGATATAAAAAGTGAAAACATCCTAATAGATGTGGATAAGAAGAGAGCTGATGGTACTCCTACAGTAAAGCTATGTGACTTTGATATGGCAATTCCTCTTCGTTCTTACTTACATACTTGCTGCATTGCCCATGCTGGAATTCCTCCACCGGATGTTTGTGTTGGTACACCTCGTTGGATGGCTCCTGAGGTGTTTCAGGCTATGAATAAGCGCAACATCTATGGTTTGGTAAGTTTCTCGTGCAGTGCTTTTGCACCTCGGATAACAAGAAATTAATACGCCTTTCCTGCCATCTCTTGTTTCATGACTTCAGCATGCTTTCCTTTCTTTTTTCTTATCTTGATATAAAATTAATTTGCAAATGCAATTGGCACTTTTTTTACTCTTTCCCTTCCTTTTTTGGGCTAATCTTCTTTGTCAAATTCTTGAGATAGATTCTAGTTTTTCCTTTCTCCAAAGCTACCTACTTTGTCTTGGGAATGAAAGACACCTTGCAATCACCATCCTTGAATTTAGAATCCTAATCTTTGAATTCTCTACTACCAACGACCAACTTTCTGCCACTTTGTGCACTGATTTGCTAAAAGATGACTAATTGTTTTTCTTGTTTTACTGATTTCCACCCTTGGTTGAAACCATTCAACCCAGCCAGAAGGTGCGAGAAGTTAGACTCAGTGGGTATCAGGAGGGGTAGAGGTAGGCCTAAGAAGTCTTGGGGCGAGGTTACTAGGCGGGACATAGCGCAGCTGGAGTTGACTGAGGACATGACCCTAGATAGGAGGGTGTGGAGGTCGAGACTTAGGGTAGAAGGCTAGTAGGTAGTCGAGCATATCTCTTTGTCTTTCCCATTTTGCTAGCATTAGTGTTAGTATGATATTCTTTTATTCATAGATTGCTATTATTACCTAGAGTTTAATTGCTTTCTTAGCTTCGGTATTTGATCTTGTTATTCCTTCTTGTTGCCATTACTTTTGTCATTCGTTCTCCAGCCGAGGGTCTATCGGAAACAGCTTCTCTGTCATTCTAGGGTAGGGTAGGGTAGGGATAAGACTGCGTTGTCTCACCCTCCCAAGACCCCACTTGTGGGAAAATACTGGGATTGTTGTTGTTGTTGTTGGTTGAAACCATTCAACACCACCAAGAACCTATCACCTCGAAAAAGATATGCATTTGTCTGCTAAGAACTGATATATCACTCATTCCTCTATCAAAATTCAGCTCTTTTATCTCGGTCTTCTAAGCATCTAATTTCTGTGCTCAATCTCATGCTTCCTTGAGAAATTAACATATCTTTTTTTTAAGCAAAGGAGGACGTATTCTGTCTGTTCGCTTGTTGCACTGCTAAGATTGAAGAGTAATGATTATCTAGCCACTTTTTGATACTTAAATTTAATTTGGAGATGGAGGATAATTTTGTTTGTTTTTTGAGAGATTATAGCATCTGAGCATCTCAGAAGATGTATCCATTGTCAAAAGGGGAAAGAGATTCTTAGGGTTGGATATTTTCTCTTCTCTTGCTCTTGAAATTGTAAAGGTCTTCAAGTCTGGGTTAGAAGGGTTACTTGGAAAATAAAAAGGTTCTTCTAGCTTTGACTTCTCACTTTCCCGTTTATCTTCAGATCTAGCTTTAAATATCTTCAAAGTCTTCCGAACTAGGTTTTTACTTGTCTTGCTTTTGATGTAGGGTGTTGATATTTGGTCCTTTGGGTGCGTCCTCCTGGAGTTGTTAACACTGCAACTTCCTTACTCAGAGTTATCTGAATTAGATATCCACAATTCTCTTCAGGTATTGCCTTGATCTCTAACCTTTAATGTAGTAATGTTTTAAATATGTAGCATGATGATTACCTAATCTGCTGCAAGTACCATTGTATGATGATTCCCCGCACAATTTTTTATTACTGCCTGCCTTGTTTGCTAAAACTCAATGCTTACGATTCTAGTAGCTCCCCGGTCATTGGATATTTCATGCGTGTCATAGTTTTCCTCGCTATTGCTTTCGATCATGAGAACTGCCTGCATAAGATCTTTTGCATATTTGATAGTGGTTTGTTGGAATTGCTTAAAATGGTACGAAAACAAATGTAATTCTTCTTGACGCACGCAGGTGGCTAATCGGCCACAACTACCTGAAGAACTAGAGGTAATGGCCACATCCTCCAAAGCAGAGCTGGAAGATCTAGCAAAGTCTTGTTCTGGCAACGACCTAGACAAGCAACAATCTGAATCTCATATCCTGAGATTTCTCGTTTCTATTTACCGTTGGTGTACCGAGAAGGATCCAGACGACCGTCCCACAGCAGAGAACCTCTACAATATCTTGCTTACCTGTGCTAACTCTCTCCCTATACAGAGTAAAGAAGAAGGATCAAAGTCCATCAGATGAAATTGATCTTCCCCAAAATTTTTGTAGCCTTAGAATGTTGTAGACTAGCATTAGATTATTTGGAGTTAGGACCCAATATTTGGGTCTGCGGCCCCCATTGAGCAACATGTTCCTTAGCCTCGCTTCAATTAGAGAACCTCACGGTCTTATATGAGACACTATGATAGTTATCTATCATTTTTCTATTCCTTTTCCAGCTTGTAGTTCTATATACTTGTTGCCATTTAATGTTATTCCTTTTCCCAATTGATAATTATGAAACTATTCCAGTTTATACTTCTTGAACGGCACCAAAATGGACGTGTTTCTAAATTTGCTTACAAATTGGCGTCTTTTTCGTTGTCGATTAGTTCTCCCTTGGTGCTGTACTATTCATAAAGCTGATTCGCACGTAGCGCTCTTTGTTGTACCATTGACTCTTTCTATTCATATTGAATTTTCTGACTATTGAAGTTACTGATTTATAGCGTGCTTGGCTAAACTTCTCCAATGTTAGAAGTACTTTTTTTTCCCAAAGAAAGCGTTTTTTTTTTCAAAATTGAAGTGTTTGGCTAAGCTTTTGGAAGAAAAAAAGTGCTTTTAATGAGAAGCATAAAAAAGTAGTTTCTCTCTAAAATCTCTTTTGAGAAAAATATGCATAGAAGTAGTTTTTAAAAGCTTGGTCAAACATTAATTGCTGCAAAGAAGTGCTTTTTTAATTAGTTAGCCAAACATAAACTGCTTCTCACCAAAAGTACTTTTGAAAAAAAGAACTTCTTGTTATAAATAATTTGTACATTGGATGCTACATTGGATGCCCATGTTGTGAATAACATAGTTTGTACATTGGATGCCCATGTTGTGAATAGCTTAAAGATTAAATCTCCTACTTTATGTCCATCATCTTTACTTTTTATGCCTATAAAAGGCTATGTAATTGCAATGGAAAGATACAACAAAGTAAAAGAAGAAAAGACTTCTTCCTTCTTTCTATCTCTTCTTATTTACCTTTTGCTGCATTACTTTTATTTTATAACACGTTATCAGCACGAAGCTCTAATTTTATTCTTAACTCCCGCTAAGTTGAGCCCTATTTTATTAAGGTATGTATCATTATAATCATTTTATTTATGGCAGTACATATCATATGCTCATTGTTTGCAGATTACTTGTGCTCTTGGGCATCTTAAATAGTTTAAGTACATTGCAGTGATAAAATAACTATTTCCTTCCGTGCTCAACTCTTAGAGGACCTCAATGTTATCAAACCAGCTATACACTAATGACATACTTATAATATCCATGGACTTCCTGGATCAAAACATATCTTTAAGGCATTTTGAAGAACTGTGAGAAATGAATTGACAAGCAATAATTTTATAGTTTAATTACTTTTATATTTATTGGAACATATAAATAATGTTAGTCACGTTCAATTCTATTAACACATATATATCAATAATATAAAGTGAAATGAAACAAGTATGTAATTTCTACTTTTTGGCAAGAATAAAATGAAATAGTAGATTGTTAACATGATATAGGTCTATTTTCATTTCTTTTACCTTAATCGTTTTGTTTTCATTAATTGTTTATTATTATAATTATTTCTCTAACTTATTCATCTTTTATAATAGTTTCACTACTGTCAAATTTATCAAAACTTGAATTTGTGGCACTTGACATCACCGGGAGGAACTATTTATCATGGGCCCTTGATGCTAAAATTCACCTTGACGGTAAAGGTCTTGGAAATACTATTATACAAGGAAATGAAGCATCAAATCAGGATAAAGCGAAGACCATGATTTTCCTTCGTCATCATCTACATGAAGGGTTAAAAACTGAATATTTAACCGTAAAAGATTCATTTGAATTATGGATTAATTTGAAGGATCGGTATGACCACCTAAAACTTACGGTATTACCTAAAGCTCGGTATGAGTGGATACATTTAAGGCTGCAAGACTTTAAAACCGTAAGTGAGTATAATTCTGCTATCTTTAAAGTATGTTCTCTATCAAAATTATGTGGAGACACTATCACAGATGAGGACTTATTGGAAAAAAATATTTTCTACTTTTCACGCTTCAAATGTGGTGCTACAACAATAATACCGTGGAAAAGGTTTTAAGAAATATTCTGAGTTAATCACATGCCTACTTGTGGCAAAGCAGAATAATACTCTATTAATGAAAAATCATGAAGTCCGTCCCACTGGGTCAACTCCATTTCCGGAAGTGAATGCTGTAGTAGCATATGATAAGTTTGAAAAAAAATAAAATAATTATCGTGGTTGTGGACATGATCGTAAACGTGGACATGGCAGGGGACGAAATAATTATCGTCATTATGGTGAAAATAAAATTGGAGAACAATAAGGGTTCTTAAATTAATCATTCAAAGGGTAAAACTAGTATGTGTCACCGATGTGGTATGAATGGTCATTGGGCACGCATTTGTCGTGTGCCAGATCATTTTGTCAAACTTTATCAAGCCTCCCTCAGAAAAAAAGAAAATAATGTGGAGGC